CCTTTAGTTCCATTAACTGTTCCCAAGAGATAGAGGGAAAAGCATATAAAGCTTATCAGAGCTATGAAGTCAATAAATAATTATACTTTCTTGCTTTTGACTACAATGGGATAAAGAGACAAAGCTAACAAACTACATTCAAATTATAATTTGGAAAGAAACAAAAACATCATTCTACATTTTCAAAAGAATCTTAATGACCCCATTCTTTTAAAATATTTCTAGTTGCAAGAGCTAAAAGTGGTTACTTTTGTCAAATACTGAAATTTTAAGCTAAGTAAAGCATGTATACTAAATAGTATTCTTGCTTAAAAGGAAGAACTAAGGACAGTAGTGGAAACAAATAAAGTTGGAATAATACAACCATCATCTGTACCGGGATTCTTTAAGGCACACTTGGCAGCTACCCAGATCGTGCTAATTGATTTTGGGGTATGCATTTCTTTGCTCCCACTCCTCATTCTGGCTTATAACAATGTTTAAAACATTTAAATATCCTATCCTCTCATCTGATAGATCTCATAGTTTCTGGATACAGAGTATTATTTTGTCTTCAAAATAGTTTCACAGAATATGAGTCTTTATTAAATAGACCAGTTAAAGAACACCACAGTGCCTTTTAAAATACTGCAATGATGGAAACGAAGTTAAAGACATTTTAACTTCCAGAGATGAGTCATTTTGGCATTTGTCTGGCTCTTGGTAATGCAATGCCCAGGATACCCTTTATCCTAGGCCAAACAGCCAAACCGTCTCTGTACTCATTTTATTCTTGGTCATAGACCTACCATTCTAACACCAAATGCCCACCATCCAAATCAATGTTTGAGCTTTACAAATATGTAGCTTCTCCAATCGACAGAACTTAGAGACAAAAATACCTTAGACACCATGCTGCTACACTGTTGGACCTCATATTCCCAGCCTAGCTTGGTGAAGGATGTACCTATTTCCAAGTGCTTGTACACTGGAAGTCTGAATTGTAACCATAGCTTCATGTATTTAAAGTGTCTCATATTGCAAACCTGACCCACCATGGTCATGTGACGTTTTCTATATTGTTAAATTTCATTATAATAAAATAAGAGAGAAAATTATGCTATTTTATTTATATCCCTTTTTATTCATGGACCACTGCCTGAAGGATTTGTACAAATGCATACCACAGTAATGTCCAGAAAATAACATTTGTCACGAAGAGGAACAAAAAAGTAAATAATTCTGTGAATCTAGTTCCTTGTGTGAGACAAGACCCAAGTTGATTTTTGACTCTGCCTTCCTGCCTGGAGATAGTCATTTCCCTGACACACATTGTCATAGCTGTCATGATCTGTCATGCATATCCATGTTCTCTACAAGTCTTATCTGAGTGTCTCTGTAGCTTTGCCTATGAGGGTATAAGTGACCTTATGTAATATCTACCTGGAGGGGTGCCCTGATTTGTTGAGCCATTTGGGGCCATATTTAAGATCCAGTACAACCATATGTCTTATAAATAATTTTACGGAAATACATTAATTCTGTAGGTCAAAGACAGAATGTAAGTTAGATGGTAACCAAAGCCATCCTTGCAGAAAAGTGTCACCATGTATTTAAGCCCAGCCTATTGTCTGTGAGCATGAAGTGTGCTTTTCATGTTTGTGGTCCTCACATAATTAAAACAGTGAAAGAAAATAACACTATTCTTCTGATATGAAGCACATAAGAAAGGAAGCAAGAATATATAGCTTTCATTTCTTAATTTTCTAATGTTAAAAATGTTCACTGTCTCTAGTTTTCTTTTGCTTCACTACATAAACATCAGGAAGTACATGAATGTAAATTTGACTTGTTTTTTTTTTTCTTGTTGTTTATACACTAGTGAAGCTTTGTACTTGCTAGTCAAGTGCTCTACCACTTGAGGTATACCCTAGCACTTTTAAAAACATTGGGGGGCTGGGAAGGTGGATCATTGGTAGAGTGCTTGCCTTCCATGCATGAGGCCCTGGGTTTGATTCCTCAGCACCACATAAGCAAAAAAAAGCCAGAAGTGGTGCTGTGGCTCAAGTGGTAGAGTGCTGAGGATAAGAGCTGAGGGACAGCGCCCAGGCCCAGAGTTCAGGCCCCAGGACTGACCAAAAAGAATAATTTTTTTTTTGGTAATTTAAAGTTTGTAAAAATCTTCATCCAGATACAGTTTATAAACAATAAAATGTATATTCTGTGTGCACTGCTTGGTGAGATTCTGAAGTTTCTATTAGCATACATCAGTTGTAACAAAAGGCTTTCATTGATAATTCCATGGATGTGTACAGTAGACTTTGGCCAAGTTCAGGCCCCCATTATCCACCCACAGCATAATGGATTTCATTATGCTATCTTCATGTGTGTGTGTGTGTGTGTGTGTGTGTGTGTGTGTGTGTGTGTGTGTGTGTGTGTGTGTGTGTGTGTGTGTGTGTGTAATGTACTCACCTTCCACACCTTCCAGTGCCCTCTCCTCTTCCCTTACTCACCTCACAGATACCCAGCCCAGGAAGTTCTTCTTTTACCCTCAGTTCCATTAGTGTTATTATTACTATCATTTTAGTTTTATATTGTTTTTATGCCAGTGTCTTGCTGTCCTTGCTCCAACTTGTGATCGTTTAGCCTCTCCTTCCTAAGTAGCCGTTATTCCAGGCATATGCCGCAATGCCTGGCTTGCGTCTTATGTAGTGCATTTATATTCCTTAACCTTCACGTCTGAGTATGCCACTAAATATGCCAGTCTCCTAAACTGAAAAAAAAAGTCCCTAAAAATTGGGAGATGGACTGGACGTTTCTCAGCCTGCCCTATTTTCTTCCTTCTCCAAGATGAAGTCATCATCTCCTCTTTCCCCAGTCCTGTTGTATAGTTGCACTTTTGTTTTTAATACTTCTCCATAACATAGAAGTTCGTAGTTTTGCTTAATAGGTTATTGACTTTGCTCAGTGATGGAATGCGTGCATTAAAATTTTGATGCATCATGGGAAATTAATGGCCAATTACTATGTGTATTTCCATATGTGAATAAAATTTGAAAGTCCTGTTCATCTCATTAGGATGACTCGAGGTTGTTTTTATCTGTGCCAACTATGAAAATAAAACTGATTCTCATTTCCCGAACCCAAAATTTAGGACCTGTCTTTTATACATGGATGTATGATTTTTCAGTTCTTTGCAGGCTTGGTTTTCCCTGTGTGCTCTCATTAGGTATACTTTATACCCATTTTTTAGCACAAAATCTGAATTTTACTTTAAAAAAGGACAAAAAATAAGCCCCCAGGATTTTAGGACTGGCTGTCCCTGGTTTTCCTGTTCTTTGGCATTCTTCAATAGCCTGGTGGCAGAGGAAACGACAGGACTGACAGTGTTTACCCATCAAAGAAGGCTGGCTAGGAATTTTAGAGGATCCTTGTTGGCAGCATTTATGTGGGATCTACCTTGGAAAGAGAGGGAAGGAAGAGTTCCATTGACCTTGCTGGGCTCAACTTTCACTACAGCCTTCTTACCTGAGCTCTTCCCTTCCCGCTACTCACTAGTATCAGAATCTGCCTTCTGCTTGGAATTCTCTCCATGGCTAGGTTCTCTCTCTCCCTGCTCTGTCCTCTCAACAGTTCCTATCCTTCAACAGTCAAACTCCAGTATCTCCTTGAAGAAGTGTTGTATGATCCTGCAGTGTTAGTGTGTCCTGGCTTTAGGTGCTGGTGGCACTCTTCTAGCATTTATCTTGCCATTGTGTTCTATAGGAATTACTTATGCTTAGATCATTCTTACCCACTGAACTTTAAAATCTTGAGAAAATAATGATGTATTATCATTATCATTCTTGTACCCCAACGCCATAGGTATTTATTGCAAATTGCACACAATAAATGCACATCTGAACTGAAACCAAAATGCGTATTGTAGATATCAGAGAATTTGTTCATCAAGAGAGTAATTATTTTGTATTTGAGTTTCCATATATGTACTGGTATTTTTAAATGATTCCCAAAAAATAAAGTAGCCAAGAGTTTGTGTGTGACCGTAAGAGTCATTTTGTGTTAGCACATTTGTGTGTATATTTATAAAGACTAGCTCAGGGGTTTTTGTCTTGTTTTGTTGCATGGCTGGGGATTAGACTCAGGGACTCCTGCTTGTTAGGAAGACCAGCTCTTTTAAAAAATTGTTTCTCCAAGATGAGCCATCAGACAATAATACTTGAAGCTTATTTCTTTGACTGTTTGATATCTATATAATGTCATTTTTTGTATCCTTGAGCGTAGATTAAATAAGATAGGAAAAACAGATATGCTAAAAAGTACATAAAAACGCATAAAAATGAAGTGTAGAAAATGAGGGAAGAAATAGAAAAGAGCAATATATTTAATGAATCTTGAAATGTATCTTGTATCCCAGTACAATGTTGTACTGTATATAATGTGAATGTCTATCATTTCATAGAATCTCAGGCTGAAATTAAAAGTGTTCTCAGTGTTGGATTGGACAGTGAGGAGAATGTTTTGGTCTGATTTTGTTTCACCTTCTACATGGAGTAGTTGTACAGCCCTTTATAGCAACTGTACCTTCCAGAACATTTATCTGCAAATGAACATAAAGCACACAGCAACTTCTTTCTAACTTAAGTCAGCACTAATTTTTATTGAGTCTAAACCTAAAACTGATAGCCCAAGAACACAAGGATTAGTTATATACTAACAAGAGTAAGCTATTTAATTCAGTGTATATCCTACAAAATCAAGAAAATTAAGGGACGGGTGGGGTGGGAAGGCTGGGAGAGGATGATCAAAAGGGTGACACTGATCAAGATACACTATATGCATAAACCACTTCGTTGAGTGACAACTCCTTGTTACTTAAAGATAATTTTTAAAAAAGAGAGTTGATCTGCTAAAAAAGTGAACTGTTAGCTGAGATGCCATTACTAGAAAGGAAAGCTTTTACTTCTACTATATAAAATGAACATTATCAGACTCATGACTCTTTCTTGTCTTCTCTTTAGTGGTATCGGGAGAAACTGGCCCTGGGCCTCTGGAGGCAGCAGTATTCTGGCAGAGTTTGGAACCCTGCATCTGGAGTTTATGCACTTGAGCCACTTATCAGGAAACCCCATCTTTGCTGAAAAGGTGAGATTCTCTTGCAAACAGCCCTTGTGAGCAGCAATATTCTGCCCTGGGAACTTTAATAATCCTGGACATGAAAAAGAACAAGGTTTGTATATCTCCTCAGGTACTTTTATAACATTCCCCATTTCCTTTACTGAAATCACAAACCCAACCTTTTCCATGACACCATCTAACTCAGGGTGAGAGGACCTGGCTTTCCCATGTGAATCTCTGTGCCTTAAGTTTCACTTCATCTGTATGATTCCATTAACTTCACCTAAAATATATATAATATTATATAGACTACATGTATCGTTACTATACAATAATGATATGAGGTGAAGGTTGAATTGATTTCTCATTTCAGTAAAGAAGCCCATTGAGATTTGTATACATTCCTACTCATCCTAGCTTTTATTCAATTTTAAAGTTCTCCCTTTTCAGCAAAATTCCTCCAAAGAGTTGCTGTTCTCTTAAGCTTCACCCATTTGGGCTTCACTCTGGCCACATGTATCTCAGTGACCTGAGAACACAACATTGCCAAAACTGCTTATCTGTTCTCCTCCCATTCATCTCCCCTGCCCTGCCAGCATTGGACAGGGTTGGCAGTTCCTTCATGAAAACAGTGCTTATAAAACTCCCCTGGTTTACCTCCTTTCCTGTTAGAGGTTTGGATGCGTCCTTCTCAGTCTCCTTGGTTAGACCCAACACACAACCTGTAAATTTTGGAAGGCCCTAGGACGCAAACCTTAGTCCCTCCTTTTTGTATCCCCCATTGTCTCCTCCAGTCTTTTCATATACCACTGGCTTTATACGTCCTCACAATACCATTAACTCCAAATTGATAACTCCAACCATTAACCTGTCCCTGAAGTTGTAATTCAGACTGTCCAACATTTATCTAACATCCACTACTAATAGACAAGACCCCCACTAAAATGCCTCAAACTCAACCCCCAGACCTGTTTTGTTCCAGGCTTCAAGTCTCACTTCTTTCTACAAAGTGGCTCAAGGCACAGTGATCTCAGTCACTGAGACAGAGTGATGTCAAGCCTTTGTCTAATATATCAGGAAATCCTTTGATTCTATCTTACTGCCTGGGCTGCCACACTGGTCCAGGACCCATCATCTTCTCTCACCTGGACTCTGTAGAAGCTAGCTTCACACGTCTTCCCTGATTTTAAGGATAGAGTCAAGCTTTACTGTGGGCTACAAGGCCTGTGTCCTGGACCCCACTTCACACTTTTCCTTGCTACTGATTTTTTCCCCCAGTGCTTCCTCACCTCTCACCTTTGTGGCTTTACCAAACTCATTTTCTTCGCGGGAGCTTTTCCTACTCACTCCTTCCTCTGCTCAAGTTATTTTCCCTCCAGATTTCTCCATGAACTGTTCTCTGGCATCTTTAAAATTCTCTTCAATTACATCCACTTTTCAGTACCACCTTAACCTAGTCAGCTTGTCCCCTCCCTTCCTGTCTGATACTAGTTCTCTCAGTCAAGTCAAATTCTAAACTATGTATGCACAACCTGAGTGACCTAAACCATAGGAATGTATTTCTCACAGTTCTGGAGGCTGACAAAACTATCTAAGACCAAGATTTAGACAAGGTAGGTTTCATTTTAAGGCCTCTTTGTTTGTAAGTGGGCCCTATTCTGCCATGTATTTATATGACAGATTCTTTCTGCCTGAGGAACAGAAAGAGTTCCCATGAGTCTCTTCTCATAAGTGTAAATATTCATTTCCTGTGATTATTTTTATAATAAGTTGATGAAAGCTCTCATTGTTCTAACTTTACATCATTTATGTCCATTTCTAAATTGTGAAAAATATTTTAAAGAAAGAATGGCATGTGGCTTTTCTTGAATTTCATATTAACATTTCTTTTATTTTGTAGGTAATGAATATTAGAAAAGTATTAAACAAACTGGAAAAACCAGAAGGCCTTTACCCTAACTATCTGAACCCCAGTAGTGGACAGTGGGGTCAACGTAAGTCAAAAAATTAGCATTTCTTTAGCACTTAGTAATCACAGTACTGTGCTAGTAGCAGAGAAAAGAAGCACCGATTATGTAGAGGAATGTTTAAAAGAAAAAGAAAAAAGGGGGGACTGGTTCCTTTGGCCATAGAACAGATTTGCTACCAGGGAAATGGATAGGTTATTTCACTGTATACTTTTTTTATGTATATGCCAGTCCTGGTGCTTGAACTCAGCCTGGGTGCTGTTCGTGAGCTTTTTTTGCTCAAAGCTAGCACTCTACCACTTAAGCCACTTCTTCACTCCTGGCTTTTTTGTTGGAAATAAGAGTCTCACAGACTTGCCTTGACTTCCCCGGGCTGCAATTCTCAATTTAGCTTCTTGAATAGCTAGGATTACAGGCATGAGCCAGCAGTGCCCAGCTCAATGTATAAGTTTAAGTGTGATAATATAGAAGTATTTCTGAAATGACTCATCTCAGAAAACAAAGATCTACTCAGGTTGGTGAGAGACATCAGCCTATACTGAGCGAGTCATGTGAGTGGATGGAAAATGTGCTCCTCTGTGCTAAGGAGAAGGGTCTTGTACAAAAAGATAGCCGTATCATCCTACTTCCTAACATTGTCTTTCTTTCAGTGTGGAGTTGGGAAGTTAGAAAAGCAAACAAACGATGCTTCAGGCTCCCAGATAAAGATTTCTTGCCAGTACATTTACTTTAGTGTAGGAGTTAAGTATCATACAAGAACTTTGGATGCCAGAAGCCTTCACTTCAGACAACTTCGAGAACCAGTATTCAGAGTAGGTGAAATAAATGTTCATAAGCTTATTTTGAGAAACAGTGGTAGATTAAATAGTAGTTGAAAGCAAGGGAAGAATCTTAAGTGGTTTGTTTAGCTATGCTAGGGTATTGGTGCTGCCTTAACATTTTACTTTAGTTTGGGTTATGCCTCATATTAAAATATCACATTATCAATTATTATGCCTTATTATTATATTAGAAGTACTTTCCTTAAAGAATATTTTATTAAAGTCAGGTGCAAGGATGCACATCTATAATCTAATCACTTGGGAGAATGAAGCAATCGGATTGGGAATCTGAGGCCAGCATGGCTGCATAGGGAGTTCAGGTCAGCCTAGACTAACTACGTGGCTAGATCTAGTCTCATGAAACAAGCAAAAGAGAAAAAATTCTCTCTCTCAAAAAGAGAGACAATTTAGTAGAAAAAAAAAAGTGTGCTAAAATAGTGTGGTAGTAGCAATGGAAGCCCAAGCTATTGAAACTTTTCCCTCATGAAGTTTGCCAGCGACCTAAGTGTGGTCTACATATTACTAGAAGTACTGAGACCTTTCATGGATCCATAGGTCAAATATGTTTAGGATAATCTTGAGATATTCTGCCTTGTTCACTGAAGAGCCATGATGGGTGGAACTGTATCAGTCAAAAGCAAGGCAGGCACCATATTGTACTAACATTCATTGTACTCTGCCACTTTCATTGATGAAAGTTCTTAATGAACCGGTAAAATGATTATTGATTCTAGCAAATGTTAGCCCTTGAATACACATCACTGTAATGTTCTGTGTGATGAAATGAAAGTATACAAAATGCACTGTGGCTATATGATGAAAACATATCTGCCTGGAAGAAAAGCTCTAATGTGAATAAATTGCAACACTATTGTTATTAGTTGATTAGTACTGATTCTTGGCTGTTATTGAGATTATTGTCATTATTGTTTCATGGATTACCATCTTTACTTGAAAGAACAACTAAAATAAAACTGGTTATTCAGACTTTGGTAATTGGTAGGCATGTTTTCAAAGATGAATCTGTCACTTCTAGAAAAAGTGACAATATTTGGACCCAAGATGATAAACTTGGAATTTCTAAAAAAAAAAAAAAAAGAAGAAGAAGAATTAAAATTATAGAGAACTTGTAAATGCCAAATGAGCTTGACTTGACTAGTTTTCTGATGAGATTGGTGTGGTGATATTAACAAACGTGATTTTTTTAAATATTGTTTAATGAAATGTGTCAACATTTGGAATATCTGCATAGCTCAAAAAAACTATTTTCCAAATAAGCACTATGTGCTATTACAAAATCATGCATAAAAAATATTCACTCAAAGTACAAGGTAATCAGAACATATGTCTGTAACTGAACACAAAAATTTATTGGTGTAATCTCTAATCACTCATTGTAGCCATCTAGCCTTTGAAAAACTTTAACTTTTAAAAATCACTGTCAAGTTTTTTTGCTATATCAAAAAATTACCATTATCTAAAATTTATCTTAACAACTGTCAACCTGTGTAAGGGCAACTTTTCCTTATATATTGTATCTAAAACAATTTGTAACAATGCATCGAATTTAAACTGTCTATGAGAATCCAGATCTCTGCTAGTAAAGCAAACATTAAGGAGGTTCACAAAAATGTAAGAATGTCAGTCTTCCCATTGATTTTTTTTTGTTTTGTAAATTATGTTTTCATGAATAATATTATACAATAGCCATATAATTGTTACTCATAATGAATCAACAAAAACTTTTAAATTGTTTTAATTTTTCAGTACGGAAAATATAGATAATTATTGCTTATATGAAAAGGATGCTCAACACGCCACCAAAAACTCTTAGAACTGATACTTTCAGCAAAGCAGAAAAATCTATGGCTTTTCTATATAACAACAACGAACAGGCTAAGAATTAAATTAGGAAAATAATCCTATTCACAATCACCTTAAAAAAGAGATACCTAGGAATAATTCAGTAAGAAGGCAAAAGACCTTTACAGTGTAAAACACAGAGGAAAGAAATTGAAGTAGGCACTAGAAAATGGAAAGAATGCCATGTTCATGGATTGACAGAATTGATACTGTGAAAATGGCTATACTACCAAAAGCATATTCAGTGAAATCCCCATCAAAATCCTGAAAACATTCTTCATAGGAATATAAAAGTGAATGCTAAATAACATATGACAGCATAAAAGACTCCAAGTAGCCAGAGCAATCCTGCACAGAAAAAGCAATTCTAGATGGCTTCAAATTATATTACAGAGCCAAAAAGAGAAAAATAGTCTGGTACTGGTATAAAAAGACACGTAGACTAAGAAAATAGAAGTTTCAGAAATAAGCTCACATAGCACTTAATTTTTTACGAAAATGCCAAAACATACATTAGAAAAAATATAGCCTCTTCCACAAATAATTCTAGGAAAACTGGAAATCTACATGTAGAAGACTGAAACTAAATCCCCGTTTCCTACTTTATATAAAATAATGGCTCAAAATATATCAGTAGCCATATATCTGTTGCTCACACCTGTATTTTTAACTACTGAAAAAGCTGGTTTAAAGCCAGTCATAGCAGAAAAGTCCATGAGACTTGACAAGCAAAAAGCTAGGCTAGACTTATAGCTCAAGTAGCAGAGCACCATTTGAGCAAGCGAGCCAAGCAAACAAGGAGGCACTGAATTCAGACCTTGTTGTTGGCAAAATAATAATAATATTATTAATTAATTAATGTATCAGTGACCTTAATGTAAGACACACAACTTTTACCATAGAAAAGCATTGAAAAAACTTGAAGTTACAGGCATAGATTTTGGCTTTCTGAGTAGGACTGTAATCACAAAGGAAATAAAAACAAGAAGTAACAAACCAGGTTGCATCAAATTTTAAAACTTCTGCACAGCAAAGGAAACAATAAGCAGAGTAAAGAATGCTTACAGAATGGAGAAAATACAAGCTACTCATGGGATTAATGCTCAGAATAATAAAAAGCTTAGAAATTAAGCACCAAAAAAAAAAAAACAATTAATTCATAGGCAAATGAAATTAACACACAGTTCTCAGAAGAGGGAATGTAAATGGCCAATGAACATGTTCAGTGTCCTTTATCGTAAAGGAAATGCAAATCAAACCATTCTTGAAATTCTGGTTCACCCAAGTCAAAACAGAAAAGAAGCAATAACAAGTCAAAAAAATAAATAGTAGCAAATGCTGGTGAGGATGTAAGGAAAAGGGACCTTTAAACTTTGTTGGTAGGTGTGTAAATAAGGGCAGCCACTGTAGAAATCAGTATGGAGGTTCTCAAAAAACTAAAAATAGAGTTCTATTCATCCACCGCTGGATGCCCCTGTTATACCACTATTGCACATAACCATGAAGAAATGCAAGTCAGCCTGAAATAAAGAAACCTGCACACCCATGTTTGTAACAGCATTATTCATAGTAGCCAATACATGAAATCAGGCTAGTTGCCTACCAATTGGGAATAGATAGAAGAAACTGAATGTATATTTACAAAATAGTGTATAATTCAGCCATATGAAGAATAAAATCATGTCATTACAGAAAAAATGGATAGAACAACAAATCAGTATTTTCAGTAAAATAAGCCAGATTCAGAAAGACAAATGTCAAATGTTTCCTCTATGTTACTAATCTAGACTTGAAAAAAATTACATAAAAGAGGAAGTGCTTTTTGAAGGAGAGAGACTAGAACCAGCAGAACAGGCAGAGCAAAAGAAGAGGGTGATGGGAGTGGATGTTTGCTTTTTATTTGCATGTAGAGAAGTAAGCAAATGAAACTCTTGTACAATTACTATGTAGTGATGCGATTTTTGAATAATGACAAAAATATTACATAAATAAGTGCTTTAGGTTATTCATTTTAAGAGTATGAATGGATACTCAAAACTAGAAGGGGCCACTAGTGGTGTTAGGATATAAGATGACTATATAATTCTTTAAAAAGGGATACCATTTTTCGAGTTCTCATGAAATATTTCAAAAATCTCTTTTGATTTACAACTCTCTTTGGTTTACTGTTTTCTTTTTTAATTCAGGTTTTGTACATTTCTTGAATTGGGACAAAAAGAGCCAATTAGACTGGAACATTCTAGCTTTACCTTCTAGGTCACCCACCAAGTATATATTTGGCCATGTTTTCCTGGTACAAAGAGTCCTTTCTATCTGGATTGCTTATGGGCTAATTTCTTAATAAAAACGAACAAGACTGATGAGTCTCATGTTCTTCTCCCCCGTCCTCCATCCACCTAAACGCAACGTTCTTATTTATTTTTTTTCACCACGGCCTGTTTGGCCTCATGTAGGTCTTTGCTTGTACTTTTTCCTTGGCTCTTCATTCTATCAAAGCCCAGCTCAGATGCTGTTTCTCCTAGCAGCCTTTTTCTTCAAGGTACTGATTGGAACTTAATACCCAGTTCTGTTCCCAGTACTTGAGGTACTTGCATAATCCTCTTCCTGATGACTCACCTTAGTATCCATCTTTCTAGGGATCAGAGCTTTGGAGAGTCATAATCTTATATTAATCATATTTGTTAGTCCAGCACCCACTATTTTGCACCGGTTTTATGTTTGCTTACTTGGAATTATGATGATTCATATGCTTTTTATCTGATCTGCCTCTCTTTTGGTAGTAGTTTATTTTATTCTCTTGTAAAAGTTGGCTTTGTTTTTCAGTTGCAGCTAAAAGGCAGCATCTCTTTCTGGCCCCTTATCATACAAACAGATTTTGTGGCCATTGATGCTACATGCTAGGGAGTTCGTGTCTATACACATAGCAATTACCACATATTTGTTTGTGAAATGTGTGTGCTGTTTCTGTGTTTACTATTCTAGTACTAGTAAGCTATTTTTTTAATTTTTTTATTAAGTAGTTGTACCAAGGTGTTTCAATTTCACAAGACAGGCTATGAGTACAATGCATCTTAATGTGAACAGTTTCTTTGGAAAGAGAACTTTATTTTATTTTCTGTTATCTTTAATTAGTTGTACAAAATAGTTGCCCTTTTACAAAGCAGTATATGAATATACAATGCATCCTGGTCAGTGTCACCCCTTTCAACATTTTCCCCACTCCTCTCAACTCGCTGCTTCCCTCAGACTGAAAAGAGAGATTGAGATACAAATGAAGTCTCCAAAATATAAAGAAATAAAGATGCTGACATTTTTAATCCTCTTATATTTAAATTCTCTTTTCTTCTGTTTCTTTTAACATACTAGGAGTCCTTTTATGAGACCTATTCCTACCATGAATAATAAAACCTTCAGTGGAGAGTATTGTATTTAAGTGACTTGCAGCCATGTCTTGTGGTGCACAGCTATAATCCCCACACTCAGGAAGCTGAGTTGGAAGAATGGCAGCTGGAGGCCCGCTGGCACTACAGAGTTAGTTCCATTTCAGCCTTGGCTATGTAATGAGACACTGCCTCAAAAAAGTAGTTACAGTACACATTACCATTAGACCATTTAGGCATAAAAATGCCATGTCTCTTCATTCTACAGTAGGTGGTCCTATTTTTTTGAAAAGTCAGTCTTCTCTCCCATATCAGCTTAAATGTTTATATGGAACTTAGTTGCCAGGACAGACTGTCATTTACCTTCAATCTTGGGAGAAGCTTAGTGGGTGAAATGCTAAATTCTCAAAAAAAAAAAGATTCATCTCTATTTTCCTTTATTTTGAATTTTCCCCCAATTTTCATAGGCAGAAAATTTAAAAATAAACTAACCACTCTTCACCAAATTAACTAAACAAAGTAAGTTATTACATAACCATTTTTCCTCCTTTAATCTCCAAAGCTACCAAATGTGCTTCTTTCATCCATTAGAGATCCGTAACCCAAGGGGAAAACAGATCAAGCTGCTTCTGGCTGTTAATGTTTTCAACTCTCGTTGCTTTAACTCTGGAAGACATGTCTGGATCATGACTATCGTTCCTTATTACTTCATTTAATCCTTGTTATTTTGACAGTAACCAGACAATGATTTGTTCTACCATGCATCACTTGAGTTTGTCTACTACAATCATTTTAACTACAGACCTTATTGATGAGATAGAGTTCATCTATTTAGATCATAAAATGTCAGAGGGGTTTTTTTTAGTGATTTATTTAGGAAACTGTAAAGGTCATTTCAAACACTGCTATTTTAAGAATCAGACACATCTTTAAGATAACACATTATGTTATACAAATTAATTAAATTCTGTAATAAGGAAACTTCATATTTAAAAACTTAAAAATATGGTCCTACTACCTAGAATAGGTGCTAGTCTTTATTAAAGTTGACTTATAAGAAGTTTAGTCATCAAGGTACATGGAAGTGCTTTCCAGGGGCTAGTGTGAACCACAAAATATATTCGGCCTGGTCTCTGCTCTCTTAGGTCTTGATTTTGTGGGGGGAGACAGAAAACAATTCTACCACATTATAAAATTGTAAGTATGTAAGTGTGTGCTGTCAAAAGCCTGTGACAGGAAACTTTGGAGGGTGTCAGGGGAGGCAGCTACCATTTCATCATGGATATGAGTTATGTACATTTTGAGCAAAGAGAACAAGGCCCATGGAACCTAATGATTTCAGACACAAAAAGAAATGCCATCTAGCAGGTGAGCAGAGATGCATTGGAGCTTGATACAGAAACGGCTTGGATTCATGCAAGCCTCCCTGTCTTCAGAAACTCCGGATTGAGGGACTGCAGTAAGGGTTGATCAGATTCACGTGTTAAGAGGTCTGATATGAATATGGGGTCTAGACTGGAGTACACCACCACTGGAGCTTTCTGCAGTGATGGAAGTGGCCTGTATCTGTCTTCCCTGCCTAGTACAGTAGGCAAGGGTCACGTGGAGCTACTGAGCACACTATGGCTGGGAAACTGAACTTGTCTGTGTAATTTTAATAAATTGAAATGAAAGTAGTGTACATTATCAAATTGGAAGCTAGAAATGAGCTCACAGGTCACTGCAAACACCAAGACAAGAGGTAATAGTCACTTGAGTCTGGATCATATTGGTGAGAACAAAAAGGAATAGATGGTTTCAAGAGATATATGAAAAAATAAAATTGGGAGTTTGAGAATTCATTATGTCAGAATGAAGGATAACAGAAGAATTAAAAATAGCTACCTAAGGTCTTTGTTTTGTTGTGTTGTTTTTCGTGGTGCTCGGAAATTGAAGCTAGGGCTTTGTATAGGTGAGGCACATGCTCCACCACAACCTCACAGACTGCCTGATTCCTCCTGTGTATAGATGGGAAAATAGAAACCTGGGCAAAAGATAAAGTTGAAGGGGAAATGGTAATTCAGGTCCTAGCAAGTTGAATTTTCTATGCCCACATAGATAGCCAAGTTAGGTAGGCAACAGACAAACAGTTGTTGAATAACTATCTGTATGCATACTAATTTACTTTTGTACAACTAAATCCAGTGTACTTGAAATCGATAAAAAGTAGTTTTGAGTTACAAAACTTAAAAGGTTATCTTGTTAATGCTCAAAAATCTCTAGATTCTAACAATGTTTTAAATACAGTGTGTTTCTTGTTATATAAGCAAATAAGCTTGAATGATCAAAAAAAAAAAAATGTAAGCCATTGAGTGTGGAGGATGTAGAGGAAAGATCCAAAGGTGAAGACCCTGTGTGCACTGTGAAGTCAGTGGCTCTGAACCACACTAGAATATCATTTAGCTTCTCTGTCTTGTCTTGCTTTTAAGATGAGGATACTCACTTGCAGTTGCAGGGTTGTTGGTAGTTTTTACAGTGGACCTAGCATTAAAAAAAAAATGTCCCTGGAGATGAACTGTGCAAATGAAGTATTAGGAGAAGGAACCTACTGCCCCTGCTCCCTCCATCTGTTATTGGCCCTGCAAACTGACAACACTAGAAAAACTTATCAAAAGCAAGATCTGAGAGGCCTCGTGTTTCAGTGCAAGCCACTTTTTATACAGATTTGTTAATGATCTTAGTTTTGACAGTTCTATATTATTCAGAACCAAAATAAATAAAAATGTATTTAAATACGTACTGTGAAACATCTTAATTTGGTATGTTTTACTAGCTAATCCAATTTTTAGAATTAGAGATGATTGCATATCTTTTATCACCATGTTTACAAAAATTCCCTGGTTATTAAGAGCATATCACATTAGTTCACAGACCATCTGCTCATCTCAGAATATCTTTCTGAAAATAGGAGATTTGTTAGAATTTAAATATAACATTGAGTTGCAGTTGACATGGAGTTTTGCATGCTAGTTGGTAACGTGATTTTGCTGCATTATCTGAATTAAAAGCTGAGTCATTCTGAAATTCATTTCCCTCTCTTTTTAGATCACGTATCAGTTGGAGGGCTTGGAGACAGCTTTTATGAATATTTGCTCAAGGCCTGGCTAATGTCTGACAAGACAGATCTAGAAGCTAAGAAGATGTATTTTGATGCTGTTCAGGTAACCCAATAGTTAGATCATCTTTGCCACTCAGCTCAAACTTAGAGCTTGCATGTTAATCAGGTTTGATGGGAAAAAAATAGAATCATACATGAGTAGGTTACAAAGTATTTCCACTGAGGGTAGAGTTCAGTATTTGCCCATGTAATTGTAACAATGGTAATCACCTATGATGCTTTTAGTTCTAATGGGACAGTTTCTAAGTTTCTAATACAGTTTAAACCTCACTGAAAAGTCACATATCTGAAAAAGAAGTATAGTTATGAAGTACACAGTAATGCAGTCAGCACAAGTCATACACATGAAAGCGGTCCCAGAAGATTATAATGAAGGCTGACATCATAGTCATTTTAGTCTGTATAAGTCCATCCTGTCATGCTCACACAATGGAATTGTCTGAACAGTGTATTACTCAGCATATATCCCCTTCATTAAAAAATGTAAGGTTGTTTTCTTTCAGGAATATGAGAATTCTCCTTATAACTACTAATTTAAAATTATGGCAGAAAAATCCTGGATTTATTTTCTGAATACTGACTACATTAGAATTGCCCACAATTTATTGACAGTCTGAATGACTACTGCCATTTGAAGCAGACTTGTTTCCAGAGATGTACGGACAGTACTATATGGAAATAGACATATAAAAATCCAAACCAAATAGTTCATTAATACTGTTTGAACATCTTTTATAGTTCAGGAGAGATGAGAGGAAACACATATTGAATTACAAAACAGTAATGTTATGTAGATTAAATGTTATGTAGATTAAATGAAGATATTTTGTTCTCACAATACTTTATTTATTCATCTAGTTTTACATATAAAGTTGCTAATCTTCAGGGAGCTCACATAAGGAATCAGAATGTAAACTGTAAAATGTGAGTCAACATTTGTGCCTTTTTTCTTCATCCTTATGTATTTATTTTTTAAAAAGAATCTCTAGCCAGGTGCTGGTGGCTCACGCCTGTAATCCTAGCTACTCAGGAGGCTGAGATCTAAGGATCATGGTTCAAAGCCAGCCCACGCAGAAAAGTTCCCATGAGACTCTTATCTCCAATTAACCACTCAAAACTGGAAATAGAACTATGACTCAAAGAGGTAGACTAGGTCTGGGAAGGTGGCTCAGTGGTAGAGCACTTGCCTTGCATGCTTGAGGCCCTGGGTTCGATTCCTCAGCACCACATAAGCAAAAAGAAAAAAGCCAGAAGTGGGACTGTGGCTCAAGTGGTAGAACACTAGCCTTGAGCTAAAGAGCTGAGGGGCAGCGCCCAGGCCCATTGTTCAGGCCCAAGACTGGACCCCCCCAAAAAAAAATTAAAAAAAAAAAGTCGTAGACCACTAGCCTTGAGCAGAATTGCTCAAGGACACTGCCAGGTCCAATTTCAAAAAAAACCAAGAATCTCTATACCATGTTTAAATGTTTATGGATTTAAGATACGGAATAAACTTCCCAAAGTCTAAAACTAACATCCAAAGAAAATAATGAAAATAAAAGTTGAACATAGTGGCTCGTGCTTGTAATCCCAACTACACAGTAGGCATAAAAGGAAGAATGTAGTCTGAGGACTTTAAATAATAAAGTCCAAAGGGCTGGGAGTGTGTGAAGGTAGAGTTACCTGCTTCACAGGTGTGAAACCTTCAAGTCAAACCCCAATAATTCAAAGTAAATATATATATATATATATATATGTATGTATGTATGTATGTATGTATGTAATGTTTGAAAGTAAATCAATTAAAATCATTTCATAGAAAATATTTTACCTAACTTTTCAGGAACAATTTTTTAGCAGAATCAGACAGATGTCCTAAGTGATTAAGAAACTTATATGTATAACTCCACTGCATTATTTCAGTATTACCTATTTAATATTATATATGTTGAGGCTTCTTGAATAATGAAGTTTAGAAAATTATGGCTAAATCCTCAGAAAATTAACCTCCATCATAATTGCTCAGATTTTTTTTATAATCAACAGTATTAGTTAATAGGAAAAAATAGAAATTTGTAACTCTAATAATTTAGGGCTGAGGTGATTTTAACCTAAGCCTATGTATTTATTTAAATATAAATGTAGCTGTCTTTGGTCTGGTTAAGTAGGTTGACTTTTCCATTGCTTTTTTTCCTTGCTCAGTTGAAAGCTCCAGAAGCAAAGCACACACCGTTCATTTCTACTCATGTATAGGAGTCAGGACTCTTTAGAAGACATCCTCAGTGTACATGCATTTCTTAGGGCATATAATGGACATCAGACACAAAGATATGATCCCTCTGACCTTTTGTCCTCATCTAGTAAAACTGGAAAAATCATTCCTTAGAGGTTTATTTCCCTCCTTGCTGTGAGGATCCAAGTTTGTATCCAGGAAGTTCTCTATTATGATTTCCATGATCTCAGGCTCCAGTCACCAAACTGCAGAGGTTTTAAGTATTTTAATCTTAAAGAGGCCTTCTAAGGTCTTGATGTTCCAAGGAAGGCAGCTCTAAAATATTCTTTGAAATACCCCTTCCCCCTGTTTCTAGAAATACACTCATGTGACTTTTAGTATATTCTGTTTAGACAAAGTCATTGACAGAAAAATCCATTAAAAGCAAATGAAGTCAAAGTGTTTCCTGTTTCCCTAAATAGAAAAAACATTTTAAACCCATTGTATACTTTTAACTTAGAGAGCTGCACTAGAACAACCAAACTTACAACTTGGAAAAAATAATGTTTTGTAGAGCAAAATTTCTTTTTGCTACATTTACTTTTTATTAACAAAAATTAATTGCACAAAAGAATACAATTTTTTATTCCTGTATATGCATCTAATGTACTTGAATCACATTTATACCCCCTTCTATCACTTATTTTGAGCCACCAATTTCGATTCACCCCTTTTTTTCTTTTAATTTCAATTTTATTGTAAAGGTGATGTATGGAGGGATTGCAATTACATAAGTCAGGAAATGAGGACATTGCTTTTTGAGCAGTGTTACTCCCTCATTTTCTTCCACTTTTTCTCCTTCTGACCCATCTTCCCCCCAAGTTGTAACGTTCATTTCCTCCATAGTGTCTAGTGAGTTTCACAGTTAAATTGGTTCATCCTTTGTCCTGCCATTCCTCTTCCCTTCCCCAAATCAGATACATGTATATGCAAGACAAAGGGTACAGAAATAAAAAAATAGTCACCCCTTTTTTTTACAGTTTCCAGTGGGTCTCATTATGCTATTTACACATATATGTAAGCATATGTAAAATATATGTATATATGTGTGCATTACATGTGTGTATATGCTTACATATATACATGTATATGTATATATGTAACATATTTGTGTAAATATATGTAAACATATGTATACATGTGCGTGTATGTGTATATGTATACACATATATATATAATATGTCAATCATATTCATATTCTGTCACCCTGTACTTTAAATAATTATCATGGGCCGGCGACAGCGATTCATACTTGTGGTTTCAGCTAACCTAGGAGACTGAGGCAGAAGGATCACTTAAGCCCAGGAGTTCAAAGCTTGCCTAGCTAATGCAGAAAGATTCTGTTCCCCCCCTGCCACCCCCCCCACACACACATAGCAAAATATCATCATCAAGGGGGTGATGCCTTCAATTATTTTTGTTCCAGTTTCTTCAGGTGGGTTGAAAAGCACTTAATCCCCAAGTAGTATGTTTTCTTGGGTTGGTTAATAAAATACTTTGAACTTTCAGCTGATTTCCAAGAGCTTATCTGGAGATCTCGCTTAGAATATACAGTAGTAAAAGATACTTGGGCAGGTGACATTTAGACTGTCACCTTCAACAAATTAATAATTTTATATGTAGAAAGATTAAACCACAGGATATATTTTAGTCTTCCTTGCTAATCCTGTGTGTAAGCATGACACAAAAATTTATTAGAGTCACCTAAGGCTAGTTTTCCTTTTCTCCATTTAGTTAAATTTTCCCATTTCCACCCAAAAACATTGCTTTGAAGGTTTTGGAATATCAGTTTAGTTTATTTTAGGAGGTAGCAAGTTGGTCAAAATCATGCCAAAAATAATATAGTACTTTATTCAGTATCCATAACAAGGTAATAATGTTTCTCTAATCTATCCTCAAAAGCTATTACTCTTGCCATGTAGAAAGAATAATTTCTTGGGTGATGCACAAGTATTTGCTTGGAGGACTTTATTGCAATTTGTGTTATGAGAAGTATAAATAGCTGAGATGTTCAGTTGCACTAAATAAGAATGAAATATTCATGTAATAAGTAAACCATCAATAAAATTAACCACAGTTAATGAGCATAGTGCGTTCATGTATTTCTTACTGACTTACTTTCATTTGTTTTATTTCTAGTAAAGGCAGGAAAGGTTTTATATGTATATTTACTTTTATTTTCTCTCTACTATCTCCAGATGTGCTTCCTGAAAGTCCTTTTTTAACAGCAAGGACAAATATAGAGACATTTTGAGAGCAGTTTTCCCTGTATAATGTAGGAGGCATTTTCTGTTAGAGAAATGAGTAATTAGACATTAATACTATGCTTCATTTTTGCTTTTTTTTTTCCATATCTGGTGGTAACTATTCTTAAAAGTAGTTATAAGAAAAACTGTATAAATCAATTGTAGGAACAATCAGTTCTCCCAGATGTAAAGATATTTATTCTTCTTAAAAAATTGTCATATAGGGGCTGTGAAGGTGGCTCAGTGATTGAGGGCTTGCCTTCCATATATGAGGCACCACATAAGCAGAAAAAGCCGGAAATGGTGCTATGGCTCAAGTGGTAGAGGGCTAGCCTTGAGCTGAAGAGCTGAGGGACAGTGCCCAGGCCCAGAGTTCAGACCCCATGACCAACCAAAAAGAAAAAGAAAAATTGTCATGTACAAGTTTCTGCAGTAGAATAATTAGGAAAGAACTTGATTCAAGCTTGTGTTCCCATATTGGAGATGTGAGTGGTGATGACCAGTGACTTTTATCAAGTGTCAGTTTCAGTGCTGACTGTTGTGGTATTTTCCTACTAAGTCATATTATCTCCATTTTATGGATAAGGAATCTGACATTTGGGGGTAGGTAAGCAAATTGTGCATAGAGTTCATGGGTCCCACAGAGCTGGAATTTAAAGCTATAATGTCTAACTCCAGAACAGCCCTTTGTGCTGCTGTTTTGCTACTTCTCAAGTCTAAGGGAATGGAAGGCAGAGTCGTGCCGCCATCCTGGATCATACACCAAAACACACTCTGTGTTCTACAGCTCACACTGCATCTTACCATTTGTGGATATTAAAATGCACTAACCCAACTATTACCACTGCACCAGTACCCCATCTTTGAGAAGCAGGTGGCTGTTCTATTGTTTGCCACGGTCCCAACAATCCATCGGGACTGGCCCAACAAATGGAAATTCTAGATAAATAAACTAAAAAGGGATAAATTAGAGCAAGAATACAAAAAGCACACCGGGCGCTGGTGGCTCACACCTGTAATCCTAGCTCCTCAGGAGGCTGAGATCTGAGGATTGCGGTTCAAAGCCAGCCTGGGCAGGAAAGTCCGTGAGACTCTTATCTCCAATAAAACACTCGAAAACCAGAAGTGGCGCTGTGGCTCAAGCGGTAGAACGCTCGCCTTGAGCTGAAGAGCTGAGGGACAGCACCCAAGCCCAGAGTTCAAGCCCCACGACCGACCGGAAAAAAAAAAAAAGAATACAGAAAGCAGTAACATAGTATGTCAAGTTGAATTAGATTTGCAACACCAAATTCAAGTTGAGAGTCTTTTTTTTTCTTATAATAATTCCATAGTATTTACCAGATAACTTGAGCAGAGAATGTCACTATTCTTTCCAGGCCATTGAGACTCACTTGATCCGCAAGTCAAGTGGGGGCCTGACATACATCGCAGAGTGGAAAGGAGGGCTCCTGGAGCACAAAATGGGCCACCTGACCTGCTTCGCAGGAGGCATGTTTGCACTGGGAGCAGACGGAGCTCCTGAAGCCTTGACCCAGCACTACCTTGAACTTGGGGCTGAAATTGCCCGCACCTGTCATGAATCTTACAATCGCACCTGTGAGTCCATTTGATTCTTTACACTCCATTTTCCTGCTTCAATTTCAGTTAGTAAGGACTTGGTCACTGAAAGAATATCTACTGTGCCTGGTGAAACTTGAACACCATAGTTAAGATCTTCAAGGAACTTGTATTTATGCTCTAAAAAGCACTGTCTTTATATCTAAAAACCTTAATTTGTCCGGTCACAGAAATCCAGGCACAGAACAGTTTGCAGTCTAGTTTACTGACCCCTGTTTTACCTAGATAGCATTGAACAAAAGCCTCTGCCCTAGTACAAAAAGTAACCATTATTAATCTTCTTCCATTCTTAGATCATGGTTCAAAGCCAGCCCAGTCTATGAGATTTTTATCTCCAGTTAACTACCGAAAAAACAGAAGGGAAGTGGTGGCTTAATGGTAGAGCACTAGCCTTGAACAAAAAAAGCTAAGGGGACAGGACCTACCTAACCACTGAGTTGAAGCTCCAGTACTGTCACAAAATAATAATAGTAATAATCATAATGTATTAATAATAATGCAGTTTTGAAGGCTTGTACTCATTTGGTCATTGCTCAGGAAACAGGGCTTAAATGGGAAGAATAAAGGGTTATTACCATTTTCTAAAATGGATTCTTTCAGACGACTAAATTTTAAAAGTATCTTTAATACTGTGTTTCATATGATGCTATAACTAGAACTTAAAATGAGTTTGGTCATCTGACTTTAATGTGATTAAGCACTGTCTAGCTTCATCGAACTTAAAAGCATTGCAAAGTTCAGTAACCCTTGTCCCCCTATTGCATGTCCATTAGTTATGAAACTGGGACCGGAAGCTTTCAGATTTGATGGTGGTGTTGAAGCCATTGCTACCAGGCAAAACGAAAAATATTACATCCTACGGCCAGAAGTTATTGAGACTTACATGTACATGTGGCGTCTGACTCATGATCCGAAGTATAGAAAATGGGCTTGGGAAGCTGTGGAGGTGATGTTTTAGTTTGCATTTATTTTTTTACAGATAAATGTCATAGCACAAAATGTTCTATGATTACCTATAAATCCAGCATAACAACTTTTCTGTGATTTTTAAAGCTTTCCTTGTACATGCACATGCATATAAATTAAGTCATGTCTCAGCTGGTCTACAGAAGGAGGTAAGACTTGTGTAGGATTTTTGCTTTTTTTTTTCTTTGCACACTTTTCCTTTAGCAACCTAGACCTCATCCTTTTCAGACATTCTGACTTACTGAGAGTGATTATCTTCCCCTTCTGGCTCCTCCTTCCCAGCCTGAGACTGTTTCCAGACTCTCTTTGACATGTTGATGTTGCCTGGATCTTTGTATTCTTCCCTCAGATTCAGACCAAATTCAAGCAGACAGCCTGAAAAGCAAGGGTCACTCTCAGAAATAGCTTGAGATTGACTCTTGGAGATCTCTTTGAATCAGCAAGTCTTCCTCATCTTTTAGGTGGAAGAAGCTTTGTCCTCACGGTCGTACTTTCTCACTGAAGATTTGACTCAAGCTGTCACATGCTGCCACGTTCTTCCTCTTTTCGACCCCATAGTGCAATCGGCTAGGGTCAGCTTTGTCTTTCATGGTGTGTTTAGATCTCCAGGCAATAAAAACATTCTTATTTCTGTTCTTGCTATTAGCACCATCAAAAATCCTTCCAAAAAACAAATGTAGAATTGTTTCTGTTGAAATGCAATAAATTGTCTGTTTGATCTTTGGCTTTTCAGTTGGACCTACTCTGTGTTTTTGAGTTTTCTGCCTAACGCTGTCAAACTTTTATTCAGTTTGAATCCCGATTTTAGCTGAACTTCAGCAGTGTGATAATAAAAGTTGTTAACAAATCAGTTTACAAACTTTTTTCTCCTCTTCTTGGTGACCCAGGCCCTGGAAAGTCACTGCAAGGTGAACGGCGGCTACTCAGGCCTCAGGGATGTTTACTTCATTCATGAGAATTACGATGATGTCCAACAAAGTTTCTTCCTGGCAGAAACACTAAAGTAAGCTAATGATCCTCAAAGAATAGGGCTGAGACACCTGACTACACCTCTCTTTATTGAGAACACATTCAAATTATTCCAAGAATGCCATCCTACATGCATGACAGTAATTGTTTGCAGGTGTTTCCAGTCATTAGGACGTCTGATGACTTGGAACAGTTTTATTTGGTTCTCATACGTTACCACCAAAGCAAAGAGTAAATTTCTTGACTTGAATAAGTGTGTAGCCATCCCTCAGAGTTCTGATAGACTTGACTGTTTGTGGCCACGGTAAGATGAGTGGAGCCACTTTGTGGCTTCCGTGCCTGATATGGTCTCTCAAGCCTTATGTACTCATGTTTCTCTTACAGATATTTGTACTTAATATTTTCTGATGATGATCTTCTTCCACTGGAACATTGGATCTTCAACACTGAGGCACATCTTCTCCCTATACTCCGTGCAGACAAAAAGAAAGTTGAAGAGAAATAAAAGACCTTTTTCTCATTTCATTCTGTTTCATTCCTTCCATTCCATACCTTAATCATTATTTTTTCCAGTGATCAGCCACATGATGAACTTTTATCCTATGTCTGTGATTATTCTGAGTTCTAAAACTGTTTTGCAGTCTTTTATGTTTATTATCATAGGAATCAATTGGACCTACATTCCTTACTCCTTTTGTTATTCAGCCAGTGAGTCCGTGGTTTTGTTTGTGTGTGTATGTGTGTATTTTTCTTTAAATAATCTCTTATCTCTGGAATTCATGAAAGTATGATATCACTTTCATGAAACTGAGTAGTGGTATGCCAATGACCTCTTAATTACAATTTGATTTGACTGCAAAATTCTTTCCTCCTCTATGAGGAGATGATGTCTGCTTTAAGCTGTAATGTTTTGCCATGTTGCAAAAAGCCATAATAAATTATTAAAACAGCTTTTTTTTCCTTTTTGATTTTATGTTGATCTGGTTTGTCTATCCACCAGAGACAGATCTTATAACTGTGACAGCCTTCTGATGCGGGTCTATCATTATTTGATAGAATGTCTCCTAAAATATTTCATTCACATTGTGATTCAAACTACAAAGTCATCCAAAAGACTCATGTTGACCTCATTTCTTTAGAACTGCAGTAAATTTTGGTTGGTTAATTATATTAGTGTTTCTTAATCTGTGTGTTTGTTCTCTGCTTTTACTCTAAATGGCCTGGGTCATTTCTGGATCACATCTGCTGCTTCGTTTCTTCCTCTCCCCTGTGCGACATGAAGTGAGCTGGCTGGCTTTACAGAGCTCTACTGTCATGGACATACATTTTTAAAGGGGAACGGTAACTTTTAATGTGCTAGCTTTTGCTTTTAATGGAATATGGAAAAAGATTTGGTCTCTAAAAGAGAGGGTGAGAATTTCGTATAGCTCTAATAAGTTCATTTGTTTGTATTTCAACATTACTTTTTTTTTTCCTTCAAAAAGCATTCCATTTGGTTGAGGTTTTTCAAATTGGAAAAAGGCCCTTTCTCAAATGTCGTAAATTATTTCACTTGGATTTATGAAAGCAAGATTGCACTCTGTGAAAGAAGCTTTGCCAGCATATCTATATTTGTGGTCAGTTAAGGAAAATCTAATAAACTGCTAGGTCAAATAAGAACAGAATATATTAGGTATAGTTACAATCAACATAAAGATCCCAACTTAGAAGGAATTTGTTTCTCGGTCATCTGTGATTGGATCTGCTCAGATCAAAATAATCATGTGATTCTCTAAACTTTGTTTCAAAATACAAATAACTTTCTCAAGAACAAACTTAGCAACATCTTGTGTTTCTCATCACACTGGGTCTGTATATGAAAGGGCTGAAGTGAAATGATGGTATGTTATAGGAAGGTATAAAGACTTTGACAACCTCAATTTTCACCCAAGAATGATGAGACAGATCAGTGAGCCTGTGGATTAGGTAAAGCATAGAAACTTGCTGCATTCATAGTATTAAAGCAGTCTGATAGCAGCAGTTTCACATGATCCAACCTAATCGTTTTTGAAGACAATTCTTTTCTTAGCTCTTAATAGACAAATAGTTTTAGCTATTTAAGCTTTTGAAAGTGTTTCAAAAGGTTTCGTCTTAGAGGACTATCTTGTTTGGCCTATATTGACCTTTGGTATTGTACACTGGGATATGTCAAAGAATTAATTAGTAAAATTGGTAAATAAGTCAGATCCTCAGTCCATCAGTATGCCATGCTGACATGTCTCTGACACAGAACAACTTCCACGGCCTATCTTGGGCTCACCCAAAGAAATGGGTGCATTACAAGAGTCTTCTCCCCTCCAGTTTGAAGGCAAAAATTTTTTTTAAAGTCTTCCTACAGCAATTAGATTATAATTTTCACATGAATGTCCTTGAACTGGAAATTTTGATTTCCTGTGCATTTCAGCTTGGCTTGAAGGATACAAAGCTGATAAATATTTCTGCAACAGAAAGTGTTAAAAATCAGCTACACTGTGTTGTATTTTTTTTTCTATCCTGGCCTAAGTAGACAAGTAGTGTATCACATGTTCACATGTTGCTTTGCTGATGGGAAGGATTGTTTTCTTCTTCGGTTCTGGAACTTAGATTTCTTAACCTAATTCTGAAAACACCAAAAATGTAAACAAGAGATTAATATTATAATAATGTAGTTTAAAGTTAAACTTTGTGTTATTTTAAACAACTGAAGTCTCTAGGTAGACACTTTCATTCATTTTCAACAAAACTGTGCAGTGGAATTTACATGTATACCTTACCTACAACCCTTATTAAAGACGAAATTTCAGATAGCACTTAATTTTGTGTGGACACAATGTTTCAATATACTTTGTGCAGTTACTATTAAACATATAATTTGTATTCCAATTTATAGAACTCAGTGACTTCTTTTCATGTGCATTACCCATTTTTACATTGACTGTTTTGATTTGTTCATAAATCCATTCCGTCACTTCCAACTTTATATAAAACTCTAATGTTACAGGAAGTATAATAGATTGACACATAATTTTTAAAAATTATATTTGTAAAATTTCTCTATTGTGAATAAAGTCTTTTAATATATCTCCTCGTGTCATATTGTTTTCTCCCTTTATGTAAAAGTACATATGCCTAGAGGTGAGTATAAAGAGTTACACATGGAAATATTAGATCATACTACAACTAGGGGATCTTGGCAATAAACATTCCCAGTATAATATGTAATTGCAAATGACTGCACAGGCAGCTTTTGGCTAGTCATATTGCTTTATCAAAGATCTAACCTAAGTTCAAGATCAGGACAGGCCGGGTAGACGCAGGGAGTATTAGACGCAGGGAGTAGTGTCATAAGTGGCAAAAATTTGCTCTTAAGTTTACAATTCAAAAGAGACAGATCAGACTAACCTTATAGCACCCACCCCTGAAACAAGACAAAATCACTTGGAGTATGTTAAACTTCAAGTTCCATCCTGCTGCATGCTTACAGTAAGAGGAATAATGTGGTCAGGGAGGCTGAGAAGAAAAGAGAGAATTTAGGTACAGGAGAACCTGCAGTATTTTTGAAAAAGTCAAAAGTTCTTGGAGATTTATGATATGCTTTTCTTGGACACTTAAATTGCTGTCCCTGGCTACTCAGAACTTTCTTAGTCCAATATATCTCTAGCTCATTCCTCACCCCAGTCAGGTCTCAAGTGATACTGAATCAGAGTAGCTTCTTTGACAAATCAGTGTAAAATGCCTATAACCCATTTTTTCCTTACCCTATTTTATTTCTAAAAAGCATTTGAGAGAAGGGGGGTTTAAGGCAAGGATGGATGGATGGATAGATAGATAGAGCCCAGATCAAGCCCTGGATCTTCCCTCAGCCTCCCTAATACTATGATTAGAAGCATGTACCTGTGTCTGGCTCCTACTATTTTATACGATTGACTTTCATAGTCCCTGTCTCATATAGAAAATATTTCCTTTGCTTGAAGCAAAGGAATTAGGGATTTTTTTTTTTTTACCTAACATAGGAAGCCTTTTGAAATCAATTATTTATACCATACATGGCATTAGTTATGTTTACTCTGGTGGAAAGTTACATTAAAATTTATTTTAAGATCATGATTTTTATTCATACTAATCAGGTATTCACACAGAAATTGCAGTGTATCAATCAGAACATTTAATTTCTGATGATGACATATACACAATAGCTTAAAATTTTAAGTAAAGTAAAAATTTTGTTTTTTTATGTAGGCATGAAGTTTATATAGCTTCCTAGGACATACTTAAAATGCAGGAGTGGCAGAGGGAATCTTAAACTCTTTCACTGATTTAATGGTCTGATACTTTTTTTCCAAGCTCATTCCATCCACACTCGCCAATATGTGAGTCATAATTTTTTAAAAAATATTTTCCAGGCTTCAGATAAGCACTTAAAATATTAGAACTACATGGTAGTCAAGACATTTAGTTCAACTCATTTTAAATAGGAAAATAGGGGGGTTTTCTCAGCAGAAGTTTTCTCTCCTTATTCCATGCTGGTAGATGCAGGGATGTGATAAGGTGTTATGCTAATAAAAGGGAGCATTGATATGTACATCTAAGTATGTCAACATATAGCAGTAAATTCAGAGTTCACCCTTGGAAATTGGTCCACTTCTGTGTTGGTCTCTGATGATGTTGCTCTCATTCACATATAGCAGAATGATTTTTTTTAGCAGAATTTTGTAAAAGGTTTTGATAAAATGCAAATTCACTAAAATTTAACAAATCAAAATTTCAATGAGTAAACAGTAGCCATATCCTGGAGTATCCATATTTAATTAACTCTTTGTGTTATTTCTGTACATAAAAATATTGAGAGCCATGATTTTAAAACATAGATAAATGGAAGTCCCAAACAACCAGTAGAATTAATTTCCAAGTCATGACAGACACGAATTTTTTCACAAAGATTTAAGTACCATTTGATAATTTATCATTTTAGAAACATTCATCTTTTTTACAAGAGCATTTCTGAGCAATAAGCCATGCACTTTAAATCTTTTAGAATTAGAGTCATATTGCTTTTTTTTTTTTGTCAGTCGTAGGGCTTGAACTCTGGCCTGGGCGCTGTCCCTCAGCTCTTTAGCTCAAGGCTAGTGCTCTCCATTTGAGCCACAGCACCACTTCCAGTTTTCTAGTGGTTTATTGGAGATAAGAGTTCCATGGACATTCTTGCCCAGGCTGGCTTTGAACCTTGATCCTCATATCTCAGCCCCCTACAGTAGTGCCTAATTTCTCATATTGCATTTTTGAGCCTTGAAATGAACTATGTTACAGTCATTTTTTAATGTGGGATAAATGACACTAAAATGAAGATAATTTTGTCTTCTCTCCCCCTTTACATTGAATTTTTAAACAGTTTTCTTTATTAGGAGTATCTCAAAAAAGTATTAACTTCAGTTATCCTCAATTGTTTTACGCAGTGATTATTTCATTTTTTTTCTTATAGCTGCTTTTCCAAGACATTTTTAAGTTGTTTCTCCTGTTCTTGCTTATGTCAGCATGTCTGTTGCCTGAAGAGACTACTTAGAATTGCTAGTTTGGCTATGTGTCATGTAGTATATAAAGTGTTCTTGGAAAGAACCTGAAAAGCACCTTCATTGTCTTCCCCTCCCACCCTGCCTAGGGCTTTTACATTCATTTCTATGCTAATCATCAAAGATTTGTTAGCTTGCCATTATTTTGATGACTTTGAGTCCCCTTAAAACATGCCATTATTTACTGAATAAATTAACTTAAATTTTGTGTCACAGATCCATTTAATTCCCCAATGGATGCAAATTACCATGAAACATTGGGAAACAGTAATAGGTATACAGCTTAAAAAAAAAAAAAAAAAAAAAAACAAGGAGGCTAGGAAGGTGTGGCTCAGTGGTAGAGCGCTTGCCTTGCATCCATGAGGCCCTAGGTTCGATTCCTCAGCACCACATAAGCAAAAAGAAAAAAAACCTTCCACATACTGGATATCTTGGCCTTAGCTATGAGCATGTCTTAGTTCACAGTTCTAAAACAGAACCACAAAATGCCCGGCTTTTCCAATTGCATTTTCCAAAACCTGAGAGCTTCGCCTGATGTTGTTTTCTAACTTAGAAAATACAAAGTCTGTGAAACGTTTGTTCTTCCAACTCTTAGAATTCTCTGTGAAAAACAGAAACTTGTGATTAGAAATCATCTCTTAGAACCAGGATGGGAGACCTGAATACCAGCTTATGAGGCAGGCACAGTATTGTGGCTCCCTTTCCTGATGAGACAGCTTTGGCTGATGTAATCAGCTGGCATATTCAGAAATGCAGAAGGATACATCCCTTCGTTTCTGCTGCATATTCATTCTTCCATTCAGTACAGTACATGGGCTCACTGTTAAATGAGCTCTAGGTGCATTTCCCTACTAGTCATATTTCTTTTCCATTTTGCTTTTGCCAAATGGATAACTGTGACTTGCATAATATTTGAATACTCCATTAAAATGTTTGGTGCTAGTTTTGCTTCTGTATATGAGGAAGTGTAGATGGAAAGAGAGTGGGTGCAGTCAGGTCAATGGGAAGCCAACTTGACTAGGAATCAAGATGACCAGGTTCTAAGCTTAGCTGCTATGTGATGTGGACCAAGTGCTTAAAGTCTTCAAGTTTCTGTTTCTTGATCTGTAAAATGAAAAGTATTAATCCGTGTGTAACAGCTGGGCTGTGATACCTATAAAAGATCCTGATGCAAGAAATTCAGAACACACACCAAAAGTCAGCCATCTGCCATAGACTACTAACCCCAAATTGCAAGACATCAAAATATCCTCATCTTCATCTATACAATAGATGGAATCACAACCACTTTTCACAAAACTCATACACAAATTCTCAAATACCTAAAACTTTTTTCAGTGCCAACACAGCACCACAAGTGAAAATTCACTACCATGAAAGTTTACTTCATGCACAAAATTATTTAAAATATTGGATAAAATTTCTGCCAGCCTAAGTGCACAGAGTAGATAGTATAAATTTGTGTAATGTTTTTACAAATATTCTATATCTCTGAAGATACCTGGTCCCAAGCATTTAAGATAGGGATACTCAACCTGTGTATGGGTAAGTTCTTAGGTCTATACCTGGGAGGATTATGCCTTCAGTCAATGAATTCCAACCCCTACTTTAAGCTCTTACAGTGTATAAAAGGTTCATCTCTCATCTCCCTTGGGAAGCCTCCAGTTTATTTTGTTATGACAACACATTTGCTATTGTTTTGCTGGCTGTTTCCAATGCCTCTAGGCTTTTTTGGATGCCTTCCTTCAATCAAGCTACTTCATACACATGTGATTACTCATATTTTAAGGTCAGAGTTTAGCTCTTACTTGCAGACATGCAAAGACAGAAATAGCTAACTTTTTTTCTTTATATCTGTTTCAAAAACTAATTGACTATTTTCCACTTTCCTTTTATCAAAGAACAGAGGGTTTTCTTTTTACTGTTCATAACAGAAAAGAAATGGGGTCAAACAATATTTGATACATTGGTAGGAACACTATTATCAATTGTGTTTTGGCTGCATACAAATAGTCCAGTAAAAATAAAACAGCAAAAGCAACAGTTGAGAGCTTCTTAGTTTGAATTTTTTCATCCTAGAATATATTTGGAAACCATCATCATCAATTTTATCATCTAAGAAGGATTAGTCAAATAACTTTTTTGAAGGGGCCAGTATTGCTTCCAAATTCAGCTTATATATTTAACAATCCCTGGTAGTGACTTAAAATTAATCACTTCCAAAGAAAAATGAGCAAACTGCTTTTTATTGAGCACCCACTTACACATTTTTCCACTTTCTCCTGACCCTTAGATTCTACAGCGCTGTGGTCATGACTTACATCCAATTAATACTTTCCTTTTCTCCCCTCACAAGAAGGTACAGACTAGCTTCTGAAAAGGGGCTTGCAATTGTGCCTGCAGTTTTCTGCTTCACATAGGACCCAGAGTTCCTTTCCCTTCCCTACAGGCCACATATGCTGATTATGGATGGTCTGGACTCTTCTGAAAAAGCCATTCAAATCATACTTCTAC